ACAGCTTGAACTTTTTCTTTCTGTACCATCAGTTCTTGATCATATGCTGCCTCCTGAAATGGTTGAACATCAACCAATTCTTTTGGTACAGTGACTCTGTATTCCTTCCATCTTCTTTTGATGTTTCCTGAGTTGTTCAATATTTTTCCCTAGAATCTTTCAAAATTGCAACTTGAGGCGTGAATTTTTTCTTTAGTTCTTTCAGCTTGAGAAATGCCAAGCCTGTTCTTCCTTTTTGGTTTTCTAACTCCAGGTCTTTGCATATTTCATTATAATATTTTACTTTGTCTTTTCTAGCCGCCATTTTGAATCTTCTGTTTAGCTCTTTTACTTCATCATTTCTTCCATTCACTTAGCTACTCTACTTTCAAGAGCAAGTTTCAGATTCTGTTTTGACATACATTTTGGTCTTTTCATTCTTTCCTGTCTTTTTAATGACCTTTTGCTTTCTTCAGGTATGATGTTCTTGATATCCCATAAGCCATCTGGTCTTCAGTCATTAGTGTTCAATGCGTTGAATCTATTCTTGAGATGGTCTCCAAATTCAGATGGAATACACTCAAGGTCATATTTTCGCTTTGGTGGACTTATTTTAATTTTCTTTAGCTTCAGCTTGAACTTGAATACAATCAGTTGATGGTCTGTTCAGCACCTGGCCTCTGGCCTTGTTCTGACTGATGATATTGAGCTTTTCCATCATCTTTTTCCACAGATATAGTCAATTTGATTCCTGTGTTTTCCGTCTGGTGAGGTGCAAGTGTATAGTTGCCGTTTATGTTGTTGAAACAAAGGTATTTACAATGAAGAAGTTGTTGGTCGGTCTTGCAAAGTTCTATCATGGGATTTCCGGAAGCAGTTCTGTTACCAAGGCCATGTTTTCCAACTACAGATCCTTCTTGGTTTCCAGCTTTCACGTTCAAACCACCAGTAGTTATCAATGCATCTTGTTTACATGTTTGATCAATTTTAGACTGCTGAAGTTGGTAAAAATCTTCAATTTCCTCATCTTTGGCATTAGTGATTGGTGCGTAAATTTGAATAATAGTCGTACTAACTGGTCTTGCTTGTAGGCACATGTGTATTATCCTGTCACTGAGAGCGTTGTATTTCAGGATAGATCTTGCCCTTTTTGACGATGAATGTGATGCCATTCCTCTTCAATTTGTCATTCCTGGCATAGTAGACCATATGATTGTTTGATTCAAAATGACCAATACCCGTCCATTTCAGCGAACTAATGCTCACTGTGTTTGTCAGTGTGTCATACTGCGGTGGCTTGCGTGTTGCTGTGATGCTGGAAGCTATGCCATCAGTATTTGAAATAGCAGCAGGATCACCCATGGTGGATGGGTTTCAGTGGAGCTTCCAGACTGAGACAGACTAGGAAGAAGGACCTGGTGGTCTACTTGTGAAAAAATTAGCCACTGAAAACCTGAATAGCAGCAGAATGTTGTTACAACCACTAGGATGGCTGTTATCAAAAAAATAGTAAATAACAAGTGTTGGCAAGGATGTGGAGATATTGGACCCATAGTGTATGTAAAATGGGCAGCTGCTGTGGAAATGTTTGGTGGTTTCTCAAAAAGTTAAATATAGAATTACCATATGATCCAGCAATTCCACTCCTGGATACATACCCAAAAGAATTGAAAACAGAGACTTGAACAGATACTTGTACACCAGTGTTCATTGCAGCATTACTCAGAATAGCTAAATGGTGGAAATAACCCAGTGTCCATCAACAGATGAATGGATAAGCAAAACGTAGTATATCCCTACAATGGAATACTATTCAACCACAAAAAGGAATGAAATACTAATACATGCTATGATATGGATGAACCTTGGAAACGTACTAGATGAATAAGTCAGACACAAAAGGGCAAATATTGTATAATCCCACTTATGTGAAATATCTAGATTAGGCAAATGCACAGGGATAAAAGTTTATTAGTTGTTACCAGGGGGAAAGAGGAGTAGGGAATTACTGCATAAGGGCTACTGAGTTTCCGTTTTGGGTGACGAAAATGTTTTGGAAATAGTGGTGATGGTTGCACAGAGTCCTGGTGGTGTGGTGGGTAAGAGCTTGCCTGCTAACCAAAAGGCCAGCAGTTCAAATCTACCAGCCACTCCTTGGAAGCCCTATGGGACAGTTCTGCTTCGTTCTGTAGGGTCACTATGAGTCAGAATCGACGGCAACGATTTTTTTTGGGATAGGTTGCACAATGTGGTGGATGTAATTAATATTAATGAATTGTACACTTAAAACTGGTTAAAATGGCAAGTTTTTTTGTTACATATATTTACCACAATAAAATCTAAAAAGAAAAAAAAAAAGTGAAGGAAAGGAGTTGTGTGCCTTGAAACTTACCAACAAATTTCCTGTCTTAGAGGAACAATGGTTGGCCTCTAAACCGCCTTAACCTTACCCCTTAAAAAGTAGAAAATATTTGGTCTTCTTAGACATTTAATTCTGAAATGATCCCAAGACTTGAGCAGTGAAAGAAGCAAAACTAGGGAAGAGATTGTAGAAATTAAGTGTGCAGATTGGAGAGGTAACTTGCTTCTGTCCTTCTGCATGACTGGCTTCAAAGGACTGGAAGATCTGCCTCCATTGTCTCCATTGCAGCCAATTTCCGAGGAGGAGGCTATTCGAATTATTGCAGACCCTCCATTGCCCCCTGTTTCATTCACACTTCGAGACTATGTGGATCATTCTGAGACTCTGCAGAAGTTAGTGCTTCTAGGTAAGTGTAAGCAACCTCCAAGTACTTCTTGAGCCTGTATTCTTGTTTTTTTGCCTTATTTTTTAAATTAACATTTTTAATTGATCTTTGTAATACAAAGTAATACATACACGTGAGCAAATGTCAAATAGTGTGAAAGGCTTCTAGTGAAAAAATGTCCTGCTTCACCCTTCCTGATCTTGCATCCCATTCCCCAGAGGTATCTGCTTAACTTTTATAGCTGTTTTTGTTTGTATTTAACCTCCTAATTTTTAAGTAATTGTTTATAAATCATTAGTGATTACATTATGACTAGAAATATTGCTCGCTGTTCTACCAAGAAGTACATTATTATTGTTGTCCTTGCGGTACAACTTTGCATTTTCCTGGAGTTAATAATTGCCTTGTTTTTCATTTGATTAGTTTTCCCATAACTTACAATAG